ATGTTGCATAAGTTATGTTGTACAGTTATGCTTGCTGAAGAAGTTATATGATAATGTGTTTATTATTAAATATTTTATGTTGATGATTTTAAAATATTATACACATAACATGATATATACTCATCTAAATAAAACTATAAAAAAATATATTTATTGAGTGATTATTCAATATATATCCTATTTTATAAGCAAAAATACTAGTACCCTGTCCAAGTGATTGGATTAGAAGTAAGCACATTCAAGCTTAGTGCATATATTAACGATGACTTGTAAATATTTATATGTGTATAAATTTTAGACATATTATGTGCTATATATTTCTTTTGGTTAAAGGTTATAATTATGCACAAGTGTTAAAATCACTATGTAAAAGGGAACTCTATCAATTTTTTTAGTAAATTAATTTGTTTTACTTTTTAGATTGTCTAATTTTTTACTATACTCCTAGTGATAACAATAAAAGAATTAAAAAGTAACATCTTATCTTAGTCATATATGTAGGATATGGGTGAGACTAGGAGTAAGTTGTTACATAAATACTATGAGTTATTTTATCATGGGTTCCTTTTTTTTTTATTATGCAAAATATATCACTACTCTTGAATGTATATCAGGCTAATTTTCTCATAGAAGGGTTCATGTTTAGAACTCATTCTCGATATCAGACTTTGTGTAGGAAAAGTGCTTTGGGACAACTCTTCCTCGAGAGCTTAAAACATCAAGTGCCTTCAACACTTTCTACATAGATTAGGCTCAAACCAAGTCAAGTTCGTCGATATAAAGTTAACCATCAATATTCTTTCAATCATTTTTGGGGTTAGAAAAAAAGGTCTTATTAACTATTAAAATCTTACAAGTGCTAAAGTTATCTTCTATCCTAAAAGGATAAAATCATACAAACTCATCTTAGTAACAATAATGACATTAATTATAACGAGAATAATACATATATACTAATCTCCTTGAACTTTGGCAATGATAAGAAACTGATATGTCAATATTTGATCAGTCATTGGTGTGACGAACTTGTGAGGAATTATTCATTTTGGATGATGGACTTAGTCGTATAATTTTATTCTTTTGGAACTCAAAAAGGACTTATGAACTCTTAACTCTTTTACTCAATCAATGTAGAGCTAAATATCCTTATCAGCACTCCCTCACTTAGGGAAGTCAATGGCTTAGGACCCTCTTTCTAACACTAATTTGATAAGTTAATATTTTATCAATCAATGATATGATGGTCTCATAAGAAATTATTCGCTTTGAGTAATAGGTGTAATTTTATCATTTTGAAACTCGTGAGCTCAAAAAAGTATATTTGAGTGTAAGGATGATCCGACCAACTTATGAGCCCTTCTTTTCCTACTCCACAAATTAATAAAAATATAAAACCAACTATTTAGGTCTTAAATGGTGAGTTAAATGATGGCTGCGGCAATTGGACTTATATAATATACAAGCGATGTTATCGTGTTCTTGAAAATTAATTGAATGCCCCCACGAACAGCATATTTATCATTCTCCACACTGTGTGTAACTGGATGAGATCATGGCAGCATATAAAGACCCACACGGTCGGAGAACCAAACATGAACTTCTCTAACATGGTCATACTTGCACGCGTCTCGCGGGGAAAGCAAAGTAGAATGCATGCATCTCCTATCTTGGAGTCGCCAGCTTCTTGATGCTAAGGCGAAAAACCTACAGGGTGCACAGAAATGGACGTGACACACGAGTGACGGACGTTGTCGTCCGAGATCAAGCGTTTTTGATCGGCCATAAACCAGTGTTGAAGCCTTGGCAATAAGACCGGCCACAATAGGAATCCACTGTGTTCATAAAAATGGCCATAAAAATCACTTGCAGTAAGCGATCCACTGTGTTCCTCTCCAATTGGAAGACAAAATGTCTCATGAATCTCTATTATTTTCTCTTTTGCGCCGTGTAGGATTTTCCAATCCAGTATGAGAAAAATGAGCATTTCATGCGTAAGAGAAGCATATTCTCTTTTGCGCCGTGTAGGATTTTCCAATCCAGTACGAGAAAAATGAGCATTTCATGCATAAGAGAAGCGTCCAATCGACGGGCTACTACGTCACTATTCTGCGTGCCTGTTGAGGCGGAGAGCCAACGAGTTTTGACTCCCTCAGCAGCGAGGCGACGGTGATCGGACGATAAGCATGATTGACTCGAGCCTGTTGAGACGGAGAGCCAACGATTTCCATCCGTTGAAATCTGAGTACATATATTGCGAACATTGAGGAAATTTCTATTTTTGATGATTGTAAATAATAATAATAATAAATAAATAAATAAACATAATATGACCTAAGTTTAAGTTCATGAAAGAAAGTCTTTTACGCGGTTTAATGTGATATTTATGGAAGAAAATAAATTTTAAAAGGAATATATAAGTAACACTATAATATTTCGAATGTCTATTATCTTGGTTGAGGAGACGCGTTCTTTAGATACATAAACTGATGGTATTGGGTTGTTTCTTAATCTTTATTAATATATTTATTTTTATTGTTAAAAAAACGATACAAAATAAGAACCACAAATTAATCTCAAGTTTTCACCCTTTTTTTTAATGGAATATCCTCTTTTTGGTTTGCTCCTACAAAGTACTATTTAATTTTCAAAAAATGAGATTACTCCTCACATTCACTTCGTCGCATCCACCCCTCATCCATTGCCCTCACCCTCGATCAGGAGAGAGAGTAGCTCGGGAGAGATCAGAGTATAGCAGTTCGAGAGAGATCGAGTTGAGCAAAACGTGCCTTCGCCTTCGCCCCTTGTACGTCGTTTTCACCTCCTCACTTTAACCCCTCATCGTCACTTAATCTAGAGAGCAGAGTATCTCGGGAAAGAAGCACAATGAAATATGCAAGGAAGGAGGGAGGGGAAGCCCTATCAAAGCTTTAGCGATGCCTCGATGGCAATAAAAGAGCGCGAGTGAGAGGATGGTGGGGTAGAGGCAATAAAGCGATGACAGGGATAATCTTATCTTTTAATAATATAAAAAATACTCGACATAAATAAATAGAAAAAAAAAGAATTTGACTATTCATAAACATTTTTACTAACAACTCCCATGCTATTAACAATCAATTAAAAATAATAAAATATTATTTTACTATTTATAATTCAACTATTATCCATCTTATCTTTTTTCTTCTTCTCTACTTACTATCATCCCCTCTTATACTTCTCTACTTAGCATATAAGATTTTCCTAGCTATATGAGGAAATATCTCTACTCTATTGAAGGAAATTCTCTATTCTGTTGAGGAAAATCCTCCCTCATAATCTGTATAAATAGGAGAGGGACATGTTAATATATTCAAGCTAAAGCTTCTTCAATATAATCTTCTTCTTCTTTCTATTTCATTTCTATCATGAAGACGAGCGAGGCTCCATAGCCATTCCCTTGCCTCCATAGAGCAGAGCAGCTTTCTCCTCTATTGTAGACATCGTTGCAGCTTTTTCTTCTACTATAGCTTCTTCTCTGCTGCAGTCGTCGTCGCAGCCGTAGCAATAGCAATAGCAGCAACAGCGATTTGCTCTTGCCCTACTCATGAAGCTTCCGGCTCGTAAACTGTTTACTTTGCATCAATTCAAGATTGGTATCCTCGACAGGAGCATCATCTTGTGAGGGTAGCAGATAAGATTTTTCGAACTATATGAGGAAATCCTCTATTCTGTTGAGGAAAATCCTCCATCATAATCTGTATAAATAGGAGAGGGACACGTTAATGTATTCAAGCTAAAATTTCTTCAATAATGCTTCTTTAATAAAACTTCTTCAATATAACTTTCATCTTTTCATTTCATCTCTTCAATAGGTGTAGAAGGAGGCAACACAACTTGCCACCTCTTAGTTGGTTCATCTTTTCATTTCATCTCTTCAATAGGTGTAGAAGGAGGCAACACAACTTGCCACCTCTTAGTTGGCTGCCAACATCACTTGTCGCCCCCTTGACGACTCTATGCCTCTTCGCTTACTATTGATGCCACCTCCATTGTTTGCATCTACAGCTCCCTTGCCTTTTCCTTCGTGAACCTCCATCGTATTAATGCTTACTCTTTTCCTTGGTCTCCTTCACAGCCCCTTTCAAAGAAGCCTCCAATGTTAGGGGGTCTCGAGGCAATTAGGCTCTGGTGACCACCTAAACAACTGGCCCACTAGTTGTCGCTTCTACTAATGGCCCTCGTGAGGCCATTCGTTCCTCGTGGTTATCACTAGTGTGTGTTCATTACCCATATTCACATAGGGATATTTTAGAAACATCAAAATATTTTAAAAATCAAGTTGTAAATACTAAAAAGTCATTGCAAAATCTCTATAAATATCTAAAAACATATGGGTTGAAACCCTTGCATTCGATCTCGAGGCCTTTGCATATGTTGTATATATATTAACAGCCTTCAACCAAGATCTGGCTCTGCAAAGGTGTTGCCATTTAGAGTGACTGTGCCTGTGTGAGAGGTTATTGTTGTTGTTGTTGTTGTGTGTGAGAGGCTCTTAATATATATATATATATATATATATATATATATCGTCGTTTTACATCCATCCATTTACCAAAGCTACTCGGAGACAAAGCAGAGGCACAAAATATGTGAATTCCGACACCGATTTCACCTCATGTCTCCCCTTTCCATGACAATGGCGATCGTAAAGGAACTCATGAAAGCTGGGAACGACCAATTTAACATCGGAATCCATAGCTGGATCAGTCCATGGAGAAAAGGAAACCACCGACTAGCCATGTCCATGGCTGCAGCTAGCTCCGCTTCCTTGCATCTTTCGTAGTTACCAGTGGCCCCTCATGTTGTCCCTGACAACTTGTGCTACCACTCCATCCATTTGCGATGTGTTCGCCAGAGGAACTCCGAAGCACGTGAAGTTGGCAGTCGCTGAGACATAATGCTGGTGGCGCCACCTCGCTGTTGGGACACGCCCATTATCGTAGTCTCGGATGTAGGGGTTTGAGTGTGACGAGATGGAAGGGCCAATGCATGAACAAAACGGCGGTGGTTGTGGCGATTGTGTTGGTGGAATGTGGAAAACTGGTAGAAATTGCTCGCAGATATTGTCGCCTCCGTGCTGGAAATCTCCCAGAGGTATAGTCTGCGAGACTCCATAACTAGCATCGCTGAAGCTGTTGCCCAGAGGAAAACGACAACAGGATCAATGAAGCAATTTAGATTCATTCACGATAAGAATGAATAGGTAGATAATTCGCCTAATGGTGATCTCATTTCATACCCCATGTGACCGGCGGCGGCGGCGACCGGACCTTCATTGCTGAACACGAGTTGGCGAGCACGATTCAGCGTTTCGACTTCCCTCTCTACTTAAAATCAAGAATAGAAGTACGATATGCGGCATTAGCTAAATGAAGATGACGATAAACTAAACATGACAAGCTACGCATCATATTCAGTGAAGGGAATTCGATCGATTAGCGTAATAAGCTTATAGCGCAACTTCATGCCTTGTCGATGCCGGTTCATATGGCCACCCAATGCTTGAGATTTGCAGAACTTGAGCGAGCAAAACCGGCACTCGTATACCTTATAAGACTCGTCCTTTCCTCCATTCTTCTTCTTCTTAAACCCTGCGAAATTAATATTTCATATGCATTTCAGTTTTAAGTAATGCTTCTTCCTCTAAAAACCTACTGTCGATGGCCGTGGAAGGGGAGCTTCCGTCAAACGCTTCCTTCCCATGTTCCTCCGGGAAGTTGTTGAGGTCCAAGGAGTTCACCTCTGTTCTCCTGCAACCAGAAAACAGAATTAAGGAATGCAGCGAAGTCGTCAACTATGCTCCTCAAAGAAGGAAGGAAGGAAGAGGCGTACATGTAAGTGAAGCCCAAGGACGAAACAACCGAACAAAGAAATCCAGCAACAGAAGGTAAAAAGGAGATGGTGAAAGTTATGGCGATGCAAAAGCAAGTTTAACTCTCTACTTCGACACCGCAGGCACTCACTATAGCTAGGCAAAGCAGTGGTCTTAAAACGAGGGCATCGAGAGACACTCGAAAGTTCTCTATCAGTTTCATCGCTGCACAGCCGTCGCTTTCTCTTTCTTCTCTCTCTTCCTTTGGTTTCTGTGACTATTAGAAGAATATGGAGTGTTGGCTATGTGGGATCATGTCATTTTTCACTTGTCTCTTGGATGAGACAACGATGTCTCTAGAGGGACGTAGCCTTTGCTGCTGCTTCTCCCCACTGAAAACCCTACTCTACTCACCTCTCACAGCTGCTTCACACATATCTTTGTCCTCATCAGTGACTGATCGATCAGGTGAGCACCCTGCATGAACAAACACCTACCTTTGTTTCCATTTCTGGACAAATGCCACCTCTTCCAAAAAGTGACGCTTGTTATTCGGTTAAGAATCTACAGTCTCTGATATAGGTGACGGCTATATATCATATTGGATACTCATCCTATACCTCCCCTTAATCTGAGAATTAGAATCCTTTATCTTATTTTCATTTTTATTCTTAATCATCTATTGGTATGATCAAATTAACTTTTAGTTCAGATAAAAAAAACATGAGGTGGAGTAGTTTTGACGGATTTTCCGTCACATTTGTTTCTTTAATGAAGAAAAAAAAAGACAATGATAGATGAAACCATTCATACGGTCTTCGTTACAGAAATACTAGTTGTTAGTAAAGCTATATATGTCGATGCAAATTAGCTCTAGTCATGTTGCATCAGTGGTTGAAACGAGGAAAGCTTCCCAGTTTAACTTTGGTAATCGATGGAGTAAAACATCAGAAATCACTCAACAGGTGTGCGATGGAAATGCTCGCTACTAACCGAGGAACACAAAAGTTCGCTTGCGTTCTTCCTCCTAGTTAATATGATCCCCAAGCTACAGAGGTTCAGTGTTCTACAAAATCTATCACAGACATTGGTTATGCTTGCACGCATCACATATATACGGAGAGATTGACCTCTATATACGTAAGATGTAGCTAGCCAGACTTCGTCTGGTAAATCCATGGGAACAACCTTCATTGCTTCATTGAATTACTGATAAAACCAGAGGCATCTTGGTTGCAAGTCAGCGTGCATGCAGGAATAAGATACCATATTCTCTTTTAATTCGCGGCAACCTTACGGTAATAGTGAACAGAGAAGCAAGACGATATAGAGAGAAGTGGCTCCTGCGTGACGCGACAGTATGTGATGGACAATGTTGCTGCTGCCACATGCATCGCTGACAGTGGTGGACTTGGATGATGCTTTCGGCTGGGATATTAATGTCACCGCGAAGGAGGCTTTTACTGTGACCATACCTCACGTGATTTGACATCTTCCCTTCTGCGTCTTCACTTTGTCTCGCATTGCCAGACGCTCGTCGAGCACCTGCAGCTGCACCTGCACCTCGGTAACAATCCCGGCTCTCTGTCATGCTGTGTCGTCCCAACGTCGTTTGATTTCCCTTCTTTTTGACACCACGCTTGCAGTACAAACAAACCTCCACATTAATCCAATTTAATAACTATGTGGTGCGACCTGGAAACAGAAGGTCATGTACTGCACCGACTTCATATCTACAATGCCTGCCTTCGTTTGTGTCTGTGTTTGCTGATGAGCTGTTCTGATAGCACCTGTCGTTTTCCACCCATAGCCAATCTTCACCTCACTGTCTCATTAGGGTTGGTAAGCGGCGATGGCGTTTCAGCAGCAGAAGCTTTGCTGTCAAAAAGAAGGATCGTGGAGTTACCCGTTGGCCGATAGAGAGGAAGGGAGGTATGATTGGCCAATCCAGTGAAAGCTGCATGTCGTTTGTCCTGTTCGATGAATTAATTCGAGATCACAGAAAGGTCATCTGACACCACTCAGTATTTCCATATCAAGTGGTGATAGATAGATACACAGTTAAAATAACCACTTATGTATGGAGAGGACGAATGTCCCCAGACAAAGCACAGATTCCCTTATGCTGCCACATCTTTTCTTCCCTCTCCTCCAAACCGGAGTCTCTTTTCCTTCGGTCTCCGATGAACCTAATCACGTACTATTAATCGTCATCTTCTTCCTTCTTGATCCAAAGATGCTTCATCTTTTAGGTGAGCTCAGCTCACGAGGTAAACGACAACGTAGAGTAGGTTACCGTCCAGTGCTGTGTGGGGTACGTCAGTATCACCAGCTATCTTGTCTGTAAGTGTGTCGATTACGGCTGCCGCTCTGAGTTATATGGATCGACGTCGTCTTCCCACAGCCCACATATAAATCTTCGTCCAAACACTGAATCAGAACCAAGACTCCAAGAATCAGTGGGTCGATTGTGGTTCTATCTCATTCGATCTTAATCATGTATGACTTGATGTGGATATCTATCGATAGTCCATCCATCCGACATCAAGCAATGTGGTTGATACGAGAGGGTGGCAGAGTCAACACCTCCATAGAAATTTTGGTGCGGAGAGTTTGTAGATGTGAGATAAGAGTCAGAGAAAAGGCTGAGATAGTGGCTGTAATGGTAGGGAGCTTTAGTCCTTTTGGACTGCAGGGGCTCTCAAGTCGCCATCCATGTGGATATCATGACCTGTGGAAGGCTGATGGGGGAGGCTGCACATGGGGGCCACCATGGCCAGGCAAGATCTAGCAACAGAAGCTCCACTGGATGTACGAAATCTTTTGGTGCGGCCCTGCAGATTCCACAAATATTATTGTAAGCAGCTAAGACCATATTATATACGTGCCGTGCCAATTGGGCTTAACCAAAATTAGGCCAACACTTTTAGGACCGGATCCAATTGAGAAAAATGGACCGGGTTCTGTCTGTGCAAAAGTCCTACATGCAACCTTACGGACACGAGAGTAATTAATTTGTCCTCGAGCGATGTTCAAATTAAATGCCACGTCGAATGTTGGAGTGATACGAAGTCATCTCATCGCTGTGCCAACATGCAAAGGACGTTTGGCATGCGATGCGCTCACGCACTTGGGGGAAAACAAGAAAAGAGAAGTGCACGTACACGTAGTCGAGAAGATAGACCATTGACTAAGGCGGGGTCAACATTTTACCCCAAGAAGAAGAGGTAAACGAAATCGTGTGGTCCGTATTGAATACAGATAAAGGATCAAACTTTAAATTACGTTCTCCATCATGCATCAATCACCACGGGACGAACGAGATGAAGCAACGTGTCATACATGACGATCCCGTTGACTTCCACCATTGACGGCGCCTGTAATTGTTACCACGGCCATGGCTTGACATGTTTGATTAGCTTTTTGAACCTCTTCGTTTCCCACCGTAATGATCAATATAACTCAAACCACCCTATAAGATAAAAAGGGCTATTAGAACTCCCGTTTGGAAGTCAGACCGACGCGACAGTCCAAAGTGACCTGCGACAAATTAACAATGCCATGGCATGAGTGTTCATTAATTGGACTGTAGTGTGTGACGATTATTATGCGTCCATCGCTTTCGAAAGTACCACGAAAGAGCACGACTAATATACATCAATTAATTGAGATATATAGTAATGACATGCAGCAGCAATTGGATCACGGTGGTCGGACTAATGCGGCGTTTGATCCATTCAACATCCATCTCTCCTACCAACGCCCGGTGTTAATTAATGTCAAGTGTTATTATATTGCGGAGAACTTTTATTGACTAATGTTAAGTTCAACTGGGAAACCTTGCACTGGTCTTCCGGCGACGTTCAAAACATATACAATGGTTCCAGGAAGGAAGAAGTTGCATCTGTGCACGTGTGTTGGATTTATATTGGGTGCATGCACGTGCAACCCGAATCCGATATATCTGGATCCAATATCTGATGTCATCAACCAACCTGCCCATCAATCGCTCTTTCTCCTTCCCTCAAATACACACAACGAACACATCGACTACTGCCCACATGCAAATGCAAAGATGTTGTACGTGATCCGAACTCCCTCCCCTAATAACAAGGCTCCAAATCCATAACCCACCACCCTTCTCTCTCCGCCATCCCCTCTCAACTCAACATGTACCCTTCACCCCAACTTCCTCCCCTGTTTTCCCTGCATTCCTCTCCCACCCCACCATTAATAATTTCTCCTCCTTTCCTTTTGTCTGCGGTCAACATGGCTGGCGCCACCCTCCCTCCTTTCCTATATATATATAAGCACATATATACGTTTGCCTCCCCACCGAACACCAACAAAGCAAGCCAAGCCTCTCCAGAACGAGAACAAAGATCGACATCTCTTCCTTAGTCCGTCCGTCCTTCAATCATCCACCCCTCCCTCCTCTTCCTCTTCCTACAATTCAGCATGAGTCCCTCGTCCAGAGAGATCCATGGCTCCCGCCCCGCCCCTCTGAAGATCCACAAGGATTCTCACCTCATCCACAAGGCTTCCTCCTCCTCCTCATCTTCCTCCACCACCACCAACGCCTCCTCTCAGCAGCAGCAGCGCCACCGCCCCGTCATCATCTACACCCACTCGCCCAAGGTCATCCACACGCAGGCCCACGACTTCATGGCGCTCGTCCAGAAACTCACCGGCCTCTCCCGTTCCACCAACGACGACATCTCGTCCTCCCTCCCACCTGCACCCCCCGCGGCCAACGCTTCGCGTCTGCACAAGGACAGCAACCGGGCTGCTGTCTCCGCTTCCGACGACTCATCCTCCTCCTCCGAGAATAGCAGCTTGGGGGGCGATGTGCATGTCACCTGCTCATCATTGACTTCCGTCGGTGCGATTTCTCCGATCGCCTTCGAACCGTTGCCGCCACCGAATCCCTTTTTCTCAGAGATCCCAATGTTCACTCCTACCTCTGAGGATTTCATCTGCTCATCGATGCCATTCTACAGATATCCGGATTCGTCCATGCTCTCGCCTTCCATCCACAATATGGGCAGCGCCATCTCGCCTCCCTACACGGATGCGATGAAGACGTACCACGAGTACTAACACCTTGGGTATGCCAATAAGGAGCGCCGAACACATGATAGATGGCCAATAATTCTTCTCGATCGACATATCTTTTCTTTTTCTGCTTTTTGTTGGTTGATTCGTCCAGCTCAGGCAGCTGATTAAGCTTGCCGAGTGTTGCCAATAAGATTCGATTAATTCTTTGCTACGTTAGGAGAGGAGAGGAACGAGGAATCAGGCTCTGTTTCATTGGATACTGATGTTTAGTTGCATGCCAAGATCTTTTAATTTATTATGTTGTGAATCGCCTGTAATCATGCACTTAAATTGTTTCTTTAGTTTCATGCTCGATCATGATGGAGTTGCACTATACATCAATCTGCTTATAACATTACACGATTGAAAGATTCTGCTTAAGCAGAGCTATATATGCAGCAACGATCAATACACTCGCATGTTTTCTGTTCTTTTGTTGTCTACGAGCGCGAAATTTCCAACTGTCTTCCTGCTCTTCTTTTGGTTTTCGGGTGGATTCTAAAGCTAGTTAGATTACGTTCCACATCTCAAATCCACCCAGTGAAAAGTAGATTAGCTGCTCCATAATAAACTTCAAAGGCTCTGACATAAACAAAGGAGCCGTCGTCAAACTTGTTTTCTACCAAAAGAGTTCATTGCAATCTTCAACGGCGTTCTTCACAAAGGCATATATATACAACAATCCCAGAGCAGATTACTTGGTCTTCATGAATGCAGGACTTTGTTGGCAGTTCTTTGTTAAGATTATATTGTTCTCAATATAATCGTTCGACATACATTAGATTGAACCCCAACTCAACCCTTTCGATTCTCACCGCTCTCTTTCCAATCTTCATATTGCATATGAATATTCTGAAATCTATGATGGGAATTTTCTGAAAAATAAAAATGTCATGATTCCGACGCTTAATCAGAAAAGAGTTGATACAGATGCAGAATTCAACTAATTTAGCATCTTCTACATTATTTCAAGAGAATCCAATACTTGGCTCCTATTATTGATATCAAGTTTGAATCTTCGTGGGATCAACAAACAATGGTAATGATCTGAAACCTGCTGAGTTATAAGAGGATGGATGGCGTCTAAGCAGCTATAGTCATATCGCATGGGCTTCATCTACACTCTGCACCACGAGCTGTAGAACTTCCTCCTCTTCTGTTTTACGGAAAACACGGTTGAGTAGTGATGCCAACCTCACACCAGCTTGTGCTATTCTTTTCTCCACCACAGGAAGCCGAGAAAAGAAGTAATCATCTGCAGCTCACAAACGATCGATTACGAGAGCTAATCGTCTTAAAATATATCTGCTTAGTTTCGATTCCAATACCCTGTTTGCAGTAATGCCCAGTTGGCTTACCTCCTAAAGTGGAATCTTGCTCGACATCCTTATAAGCATAGTCACAAGCTAATCTTATGCTCTCGGAGGCGTACCTGAAAAGCTTGCAGCCGTTATACATACATCATATAAAGAATGCCATCATTGCTTCCAAATGTAACGATATGATATCATGCTATGTCAATTTCGTCTCACTTGTCAGCGCAAGTCATCGACGTTGTTGCACTGCATCGCTTCCATCCACTGACTTCATCAGACCATTCATTCTGGAAAACAAAATCATGTTTCAAAGTGCTGTTGGAGAAAGGTAAGCTGGGAACTCATGAACTTACAGTGATGTTCATCTCGATGGCCTCGATCATGCTACCCAGATCATTGTCGTAGAAGTCACGCATGGCAGTCTCTATTATGTTAACGTCCCACACCTTGCCATGTACAACCAAAAAATCATGTCAACATCTGGGCAACCATTATAAGGTTCAGAAGCTTCGGGTTCTCCGTTGTGGAAGTTACTCAACATGATGAAGGTTGCTTTTTCTTCGGTACCAATGGACGATTATGGTATTACCACCCGCATCCTCCGCGAATCCTACATGGAGTGGTTGATGTACGTCTCCCACGAAATGTGCGAGGAACATGAGACTCTCTGTCAGGTTATCTGATCCATAGAAACCAAACATTGTTGTTAGGTTGCAGAGGACATAAACAGTATGGCAGACTGTTCTTACATCCACTCGATGCATCGCCATAGCTCAAAAGCTGCGTAGTGTAGTTGTTAATTGCTCCAACCACGCACATGTCCTGCACACCTTTTGAATTGTGGCAATCCCCTGCACGAGTGCCGGCACGATCAGGCTAAAAGGGAGATGCAAACTAAGGTGTTAGATCGCTTCGACGAAGCAGACTTTAAGGTCTTGGGGAGTTCCCTAATCCCTGAGAAAAGGCATGTTGACATGGATGTGCTTTTGAATGTCTTGCACGCAACTCTATCATGCAAATCCCGTGTCAGCAACAACAACAGCAATTGCCTCGAGGACAATTTAGGAACCCAAATTGGTCCAGTCTTCTTCTCCAACCCTTAGTAAATCTCCCATGTTCATCGTTGAGTAGATAAGTCAACAGGAGGTTTAGCCTTCCCTCTAAATTTTCGGTGCAGAGCAGAGCAGAGACCATGTTCGGTCTCCGATCAACTCTAATGGCATGTATGATGTCTAACATGAGCTATTGTGCTAAGCAATTCCTTAGTCAATGCAGCATCAAGGAATAAACTAGCTTATTGTATCTGAATTCTTTCAGAATTTTCCTTCTCTGGAAATAAATAAGATGGGATTGCGGGTAGGAAGGCTGCTAATGTTACTTGAATACTCGAAGTTGCAGACTCCTGGAGTATTGGCATAATGGAGCGGGCTCGACCATCGGTACCGGAACCGCACCTCATCCGCCCACGAGCACACTGCCGCCAGATCCCCTCCGGCAGACTCCGGCAGAAGGTCTAACACCGCTGCTGACGCTTTCTTCGTGAGATATTTCTGTCACAATACAAGATTTCTTTGATCTGTGGTTTATGAACTCAAGAGATCAGTAAAAATCAATGTAAGATTTCATGTCACCTCTGCTATTTTGCAGACCATGTAGTGCCCCTCCTTCCCCCAGGCCTGCGCGGTTGGAGCTCCAGCTACTAGCAGAAGAAAGAAGACGCGGAGGAAGAGTAAGAAACCCATCTTTCTTTCTTCTGCACGTCTCCCGCTTCGGTTTCCCTTCCCCCCCACCCCTCTTTCTCTCTCTCTATATATATATACATACACAAATGTATATTGGCTTCACGATGGAAGCAACCATCGGTAAAAAACCCCATGAAGTTGAAGTGTAGGGGAGATTCACATATCCTATGCTAAAAAATAACTTCGATTCACATGATCATGGCAAGAGATCTGCTGATAGCATTCCCATGATTTAATGGACTTTGGACATCGCTTCTAAGATAAGACAGACAAAAGAGCCGCAGAGTGATGCATCTGTTGTGGTCCTGAAGTTTGGATAAGATAATAACTGGTGCAATCGCTTATTACTGATACCAGTCTTCACCATGTTAGGTTTTGACAATTCCATGCTTTGCCTTCGGCTTCCATTAAAAAGATTTATGGTGAAAAGGAAATGCTACCTACCATAAACTCTCTTATGAACGTATGAATCAGATCTTGCAAGAAACTTGAGTAGTGTAGTATAGTCTTTCTGTAGTATCGTGATCTGTGCACACGTTGTTGTCTTGCTGGTGAGAGGATAGTAAAAGACCCTTCGTGTTGCACATGTTATGGTATGGTTCTGTTCCCCAGCTAATTAGTCACATTTGAGACAGCTCTACTGGGATCAATGCTAAAAGGGAGGATCACCTAATCAGAAGCCAAAATGTCAACATGTGTGGCACATGCTTAGTTCAGAGCAGCATTTCCTCCTCAACCAGGAGTTGAATGCAGGAAAGGGACCCTCGAGAACTTGGATGTGGATGGAGCATATACTTTGGCATCCCAAAACACACCTCCATCCAAAGATTTGAATCTACAACCCTAAGTTTTTTATGATCGTTGTAAATAAAATATATTATTACTTGTTTTCGTCTCCACGTAAACTCTGTCTAAGAAGAAAACAGAAATAAATTATGATTTGAACTTACAAGATCCGACACAAGAATAACATATCGATATCTTTCGATAAACTATCGAGATCTTTATTGACTATGTTAAAGAAAAAAAAAAGGCTGACACCTTCTAATAAACATAGTAATAATTAACTATTGGTAGAACGTGCACCTCGGCATCTCTTGATTTAACTAATAGATTATTCAAGTCATACTACTTGTCAAGATAATCCCCAACCCAAAGAAACGAAAATAATTTGTAATGATAGCATTGGGAAGTGAGCTATGTATTATGGGCTGTCTCAGCTGCAGAGCCCATCTGCTGTCGTTATATGGATCATTTCCTGGAATTCCATTGCCCGAAGCTCTTCGCAGCTCTTCCGATTTGAGATCGCCATTATCTTGTTATGTACGTGTCCACATACATGCATTGGTGCTTAGTATGGATCAAACGTTAAAGAAACGTTATCTCAATCTCGCCCACTGTCAACCCTGAAGTGTGAGCAGCAACCTTTGAGCACGAAGGCCCTGTGCTTCCCACCATCTCGGAGCCCACGTGAGGATGTTCATGTACCGAGTTGATTAGGGTTTTTGAGTCATACAGGGTCCATCGACCACTTTACTCTTGAGGAAGACTCCATGACCACTCACCTGCAACCTCCCATCAGGCATCAAAGAGCTCTCCACATTCTGGTGCCTCTGAACTTGGCCATATTACATCCTCAATCTCTCTCTATCTCTGCCGAACTATGCAAAAGCCAAATCCTGCTCATTTCTAATGATCTCAACCTATATAGCTAATGTGGACCACAGCTGCCCTTCCTCGGTTCATGCATGCCACCTTACAAAGGGATGTAAAATGGTTTAGAAGGCCTAAACAAAAGGAGATTATGACTCGTCTCTATCCCTCCCCATAGCGCGGCTCGGAGGGCTCCTCACCACGCATAACTCAGTCGCCTGAGGGACCACAGAACGTTGTCCCCTCCCAAAGGAAGCCGACCTTTTTCTCAACACCCAAGTGCAACGCATTTGGCTAACTCTCTAACCCCTCTTTCAATTCTCCATCCGCTCGATGGATCGCATCCACTACCCAAAATTTCTTTTCCACCATCTACATTGCTTGGCATCAGCCGATTCGTAGATGTCGTTCTCGCAGTCCGCAGTCATCTCGCTGGACCATGCAAAACTACAGGCCGCGATTACGACGGTTTTGGAGTGTTCTTCTGTGGAGAGGATGAAGCATCGG